TTTAAAGCAAAAATTACAAAAATATATATATATCTTTGAAGTTTGATTCTTATAACAACATAAACTAAGAGTTTTAAATTTTATCAATTTAAATCCTAATCTTTTGATTTATTTTAATTTAAACCATCAACTTATTTTTGTTAAGCAAAACCGACAAAAATTTGATATTTTGGCCATTGAATGTGTACATAAAATGTTTAAAATACTATTTTCATTAAGTTTAATGACTAAAATATTTTTTTCATTAATTTTACTTAACGAAAATACGTAGATGATTTAAATTGAAAACAAATAAAAAAAAAGTAGGGTTTAAATTGACAAACTTTAAAACATAAAGTTTATTTTCTTACAAAGATCAAATTTTTGATTTTGTTTTTATTTCTCCTTTTTTAATGTTTTATATTACAATTAGTTATTAATTCACTCCCTACATTGTTGGATTAGTTTCCTTATTGTAAATTTAAAATCTACTTTTAATTAGGGGACATCAAATTAGGGCAAGTCATTCAAAGATTTAAAAATCTAACTTAAAATCATTGTAATTTGATGAAACACCTTAAGATTAGCTAAATCGGATTATGAAAATCTAATCACATTATAGCCGTTAATAAACTTAAGTATCAATAAAAATCGAAGTGGTGATTATAAATTTTGCCATGCTTTCTAATTTCATTCTCCCTCCAAAGTTTCAATTTTCTTAATATTTTATATAACAATTAGTTATTAGTTCACTTCCCTTTATTATTGGATTAGTCTCCTTATTGTAAATTTAAAATTTAGATGACAATAATTTAGTGTTATCATTCTACTGAAATTTTGTTTCATAAATAGCTGACAAAATATCGTAATAAAAACTTGATTAAATAATCTTACATTGATGATTAGTTTTTAAGTAATGCTACTCTAACTAAGAAATAAGTTGATCTTTATGGTCGGTTGTAATTGGTTTGTAGAAGATCAGAGCATCTCCAACCACTAGGTATATCATGTTTGTTAGTCAAAATGCCTAGTATAACTCATTTTTTTCAACTCTAATGCACTAGGCATATGATTAGGTATTTTAGCTCAACTCACATTCACTAGCTACATGTAGCTAGCCTTCAAGGCTAGGCAAAATGTATTTAATCGTTAGGATCATTTCCCTCCATCTTTGTTGCTGATGTGGCATTTTATAAAATTAATAGTATTTAAATGAATAACTAAAATAAATAGCATGATTAGAGTAAAAACATTAAATAGTTGATAGGCAAAATAAAATATATACTTTATAATAATATTTAAATTGATAAAATGCCTATTACCGTTGGAGATGCTCTCACAAGATTAACAGCCAATTATGACTGACTACGAAATCGGTTTCATTTTTTTTATTAACTATTTTTAGAGATAATTATAAATAACTATAAATACTATAAAATAATTATAAATAATGAAGAATAAAAAACCAAACAATAATACATGGAAATATATAAATAATTACAAAATGATGAGAACATTTTGTGAAATTATCAAAATGCGCTTATCTTCCTCTCTCATCTCTCATATTTTTCCCTTTTCCTCCAAACCCTGAACCCTAACCCATTTGCCAAACCCACCAACCAATCCTCCCATGTCTTTCTTGGTGCTATCAACCCCTCTTCCAACCCCATTGCAATCACTAGCCCCTTTTTACTCTCCTCCACTATTTGCAACCTATCATTACCTCTTCTTCTTTCCATCTCGACCTATCATAGCCTTAGCCACGCGAAAGGAGGAAGGTGAGTGAAGTGTTGGGTGATTATTAATAGGATTTTAAGAGACGTGTTATATCATAAGATTAGATAAAATAAATGATTGGATATATGGTAGGATTATAGGAGATAAGTTATACCATGGGATAATAGATGTGACAAACAATTGGATAGAAAGGGTGAAATGTTATTATATTTGATTATAATAAAAATATATAATTATTTTTTTCTATTGGATGAAGAAAAAACATAATCAGAATATGTCTCGTTTTTATAATACCACACTATCTATGGTATCATTTAATTCTTCCTTCTTTCTTTTATTTTTGATTTTTATGTAATCCTCTATATCAGTACTAAAATTATCCACAATTTACATGCAAACACTAGATTGGATTATTTGATAGGACTCAGATGTTCTCTACCGTCAATCCACTTCTCTTTATTTCACAATCAAATGCTGAACTAACAATTCAGTAGGCTTACATGTTTTTTCACTTTCAATTCCACTAATAGTAGGGCAAACATGGCTCGAGGGCAAGGAAGTGGCTGATGATGGTGAAACGAGGTTGGTTAAGAACTAATGACATTAGAAGAGGTTAGCCAATAGATTAGGGTTTGTACGGAATAAGAAAGAGAATAGAGAGGAAGGAAAGAGCATTTTGGTAATTTCATAAAAAAATCTCACAATTTGGTAATTAATTTTTGATGCTACAGTTTTGTAATTACTTTTTGCTTTTTCCATTTATTTGCATTTTTTTTAAAACAATTAATCCCATTTTCATAAACTATGTCTAGTGGCAATGTATGTGTGCCACGTGTAAGCAATTAATTTCCTCCAACTAGGAAACAACCTGACAGTGCCTGTATATTCCCCCCACCACCATCCCCTCTTCCATGCTCCTTTGGGTGACGCAATCGCAATCCATAAACCCAAATTAGCAAAAATTAAGTACAATTTAATCATTCAGATAAAGATACAAACAAATTTGTCCGGTGGCATATTAGTAATTTCCTCCCACCACAAAGGCATTTCTTTAATTTCTCTCTAACATTTCACTAATTGACAAAAGAAAGGTTAGCGAGTAATTATTTTTCCGCACCTTAATTCTTTTTAGTACACATATTTAATGAACATTTTTTTTATTACACACATTGTAAAAATATAAACAACAATGATAGAGACCACTAATTTTGCAGCTCTAAAAATACCACTAATGACATGGCACTTAATAAAAAAAGAAAAAAAAATACAACACCAAGGCCAAAACATCAAATCATTCCTGGTGGGACCCACTGCCACATCATTAGTGATAGCACTAATTAGTGCTCTCACTCATTTTCCAAATATAAATTCTTAATACACATCTTTATATTTTAATATTACTCTCATTTTTAATTTTAAAATCCTAAGGCTATGTTTGGTTTCAATGTTCGAATCAATTTTTTGAGAAAATTATAAATTAATTTGACAAAAATAAATACTAAAAAAATATTTTAAAATTTTTATTTTTGGAAACGTATTCTAATACTAGATTATGCATAGCGCCCCCCCCCTTTTTTTTTCCATTCACCAACTCCTCCTTTATTGTCGTTGCGGCCACTTTCAACGCTCCATCGCTATCACCACCGCTACTTCTAGCTCATCCCCCTCCATCTTAGACCTCCATAATCAACCTTGAGTGATTCGTGGTGGAAGAATTGTAGACGTGTATGGTTCATGGCGAAAAGTGATCGCAAGCGAAGAGGGAAAAGAGGTGATGAAAGGGGATGACAAATGAGAGAGGTAGTGCTGGCGATAAAAAATGATTGTGATGTTTTACAATTAGGATTTGAGTATAAGAAGATGAGGGTATTATAGTATTTTTATTTTAGGACAAAATTGTATTAATGAAAATTTTCATTAAATATGTAAACTGAGAGGAATTGGTGTGTGAAAATAAAATTATCCCAGGTCAGCGGCATAAAATGACTCTGACCCTCCAGCTTTCAATGGAATGGCAACAAAAACCAACAACAAAAAAAACAATTGAGGTGAAATTTGTAAAAAATAATTAGGATATTTATTCATAAATATATTTATTTATGTATTTATGTTTTATTTAATTTAAATTATTTTTATATATTTCAATAAGTCTTCTACTAATATTCACATTAAGAGCTTGTTTGACATGAACTAAAAAAGTGAATTTATTTTTTATTGTTTAATCTTTTTTAGATCATATCATCTCCTTATTTTTCTATACATATTTTCATAAAAAGTTAAGAATTTATATTATCTCAAACAATCGTTAATAATGTGAATGTTCCATGATGTGAAATTGTCAAGAGTTCAAAAATATTTGTAAGGGTAAAATTATTCATAAAATATCTTAAATATGATAATTAGAATTTGATGGATCAAATATTCAAATAATAAGATTTATCAGCAAATTAATTAACTTAAATATGAACTAAGTGTGATACAAGTACTTAAAAATTAATTTACTAATAAATGCCCCAAATAGTTATGAATTAGTAAATTTTTTTATAAATATTAATAATTAAAATTATAATTTTTTTGAAATTCCATCGAATGCAATTACCTCAAAACAATTTGATTTGCAATTATTAAAAATAATTTTATGAGTTATCAATCTGTATTGCTTTAAATTTAATAATTTTTTAATAATATATATTTTTAAAATTTTAAATTTACTTAATTTAGATACATTTAAAAATACAAATTTTATAAAAAAATCTTATAAAAATGTATTAAATACAAAAATATAAAACTTAATATATTTTCGTATTTTGTTATATTAAATAAATTTTTACCTAAATTTTATTTTTTTTTAGCGTATATAAGTAAATCTAATTTTTTTTAAATTAATTAAAATATTAAAAAATTAAAAATTCAAACAACTGTTTTGAATTTTAAATTTCCATTTTTTGAGGGTGTGCTATATAAGCACACTTTTTATCTTTTTATATTTTTTAAGTCACAGCATCTTCCTATTTTTTTATAAAAAATTAAAAAGTACACTTAATTAGATAATTTTAACACAATTTTTTTAATTCATTTAATTTTTATTTCCCAAATTTGCAATTTTTATTACCAATTTAGCCCTCTCCTCTCGCTGGTCATTTCGAATTCAATTTCTTACCCGGACTTGAAATTCGTCTTAATCCAAATTCATTTTTTGAAATACTCACCTACTATTTTATTATTTATTTATTTATTTATAATCTGTACACAAATATAGATATACACACACCTGGGTATGTATAGTCTCTGCTTTTTGGAATTTAGACAGCTTCTCTCAAACAACTGCCCGGTAATCTCTTTTGGGTTTTCAGAAAAATGCTTGTTTCTCGGTAAAATTCATGGGTTTTTTTTTTGTAGGTAAAATTTTGGAACTTTTGATCTGTTGAGGGAGTGACATTGAAGTACTGGTCTGCAAATGTGAAGAGCTCTGACAGAGAATAGTGGTGTTGTAAGTTTTATCCTAACTTCTTCTGGAATGTTTAGTTTTTGAATGTAGAGTTACGGTTAGTGGTATGTGGGTTGACTATCAAGGAAATGTTGTTCTTGAAATTGTTGATTTTCTCTAATTTTTTAGTTCTAATTTTTATTTATTTATTTATTTTTGTTGGTGATGGTTTGCATGTTGAAGATAAGAAAGAATCTTGAACTTAAATTTGATGTTATCTCTATGGGTTTTGATTTGAATTTTTTCTTTTTGGCTTTTGTACTTTTGATTTGATTTGATCTGTTATTATTATTATTTGGATTTTTGGGTTAAAAGTTTTGATGTTTTTGACGATATGAGAAAATGTTGAGTTTCAGGCTTATTTTTTAAATGATTTCTTAATAGTTTCTTGTTTTTGATTTCCCCCCCTTTTTCATGTTTGTTCTTTTCTATGCCCTTTTATGGAGTTTTGGTTTCGAAATCACGAGGTTTAAAGTTTAATATTGCAGAAAATTTGAGCATGAAGGTAAATTTTTAGTGCATGAATATACAAAAAAAAAAAAAGTGTCAAAAATAAAAGGACTAAACAAAAAATAGAAAGATTAATTCCATTTTATATTCGAAATCACAAGTTTGATCTCTGAAGATTGCAGAAACTTTGAGCATGGAGTTTAATATTTAGTCCGTGAGATATACGGAAAAAAAAAGGGTCAAAAAAAGAAAAAGAAAGAAAGAAAGAATGAAAGAAGAACTGAACAGAAAATAGAAAGAGTAAATTTCATTTTTATTTTTTAATTTCATTGTCTTTGAACTTATATTGTTGTATGATTTTTTAAGATCTTTAGTTGTATGTGAATTGGTTTATATGTTGAACTATAAATAGAAACTTCCTTATCTTTTGATTTTCAATTTGAATTTTTTGTTGTTGTTGGTTTTCTTTGCTTTTTCCATACATGGTTTGATTTATTTATTTTTAATAATTTTAAATTTGTGATGGATTTATGTTTTGCAGGTATTGTGATTTAGGTGTTCAAAGTCAACAAAAATCTGATTGTTGGTTTAGTAACTGGAAGAATTTTGTGAAGCATGGAAGCAAGAGAAAATATGAGTGCAGGAGTGACAGTGATCGGAGCTGAGGCTCCATCCAACTACCATGTAGCGGCAAGGACCGAAAATATGGCCGGAAATCCAACGGTGGTTGAGCCGCCAATGGCTGCTGGAGTGGCAGAAACAATGGGAAAGAAAAAACGGGGTAGACCAAGGAAGTATGGCCCAGATGGTGCACTTTCGAGGGCGTTGTCCCCAATTCCAATTTCATCATCAGCTCCACCAGCATCCACCGGTAACTTCTCAGCCAACAAACGGGGTAGAGGGCGTCCAATTGGTTCGGAGAACAAGCAGAAGGAGAAAATGGATTTGGATAATTCAGGTAATGGAGGCTTTTCACAGCCAATTTCCGTTTCAGAATTTAGTATAATTGAAGCTTCAAGCATGATCAATTATTTATTTGTTTATTGCTATAATAAGATCCACAGATTATCATCTTAGGTCTTGATAATAATGTCGACATAATTAGTTTGTCTGTCTTGGCTGACTATTTATGGGTTGTTTCTGTTTATAGTTCGAGATGGGTTTTAACATTCCATTTGAGGTGTGGATTCTATTTGTTGTTGAAGTTTGTGTGGACCATTATGTGAGATGCTTCTGCTCATGTCTGGAAGTAAACGTTGGTTTGTACGGAAATAAAATGATGGCTTTTGTGGCATTGGTGTGAGAGTGGGGAACATTCCTTTTCTGGCTTAATCTGTTACTTCTTGCTATTTTCTAAATTACTTTTACATCTAATTTTTTAGGCAATTTGATGAATGATGAAGATGGGTTGAATTTGTTATCATTTAGTAGTTATTCTATTACAACTGTACGGCAGTTATTTTATGGGTATTATTGTAAAACAAAAAAGCACGACAAAGTTTCTAAGTTGTGTGCTGAAATGGTAAAATCACTCATATGACACACAAAAATGGATTTTGTTAAAGCTTAAAGTATAGTATCCTTGAGTTATGTAGACATGAGTCCGGAAGGGAGGTGATGTTTCTATTCCTTTCTCAATGTTGAGCTGTGGTTATGGTAAAGAAAATTTGGCCTTTTGGGGTTTAACTGAATGTAGTAGAGTCAGATAGCCTGCATGTTTATGTGTTAGTAGAAGACCACACCTCCGGAAGTGGAGGCCCTGATTGTCTAGATTAGCAAATTTATTGCATACTCTGTATTTTTAATATCATAGTGTACCAACATTATTTAAACTCCTATTTTATAGGTGATTTGGTGGATTGTTCTGCTGGGACAAATTTTATGACTCACATGATCACTGTTAACAAAGGAGAGGTATGTTTGGCTAGAAAAAGAGAACATGTTTCTTGTATGAATACTTTTTTTTTTGTAGGTTTGTATGAATACTTATAGTCTTGCTACTGTATATTTTATTTATTTTTTATTCTTATCAAATCACAATGCCAACCATTTGAGTGGAATACATCTTGGTTTAATGTAATGTTCTACCATGTACTAATGCTTTTCCTTATCCACATTTTTTTTAAACTTTAGGTTGGGACAGGGATTCTCCGTTGTGGGATCTGAATGAAATTTCTTCCTGGTGTTGGAAAATGAGAGGAAGGATATTAGATGAGAGAAGAGAGACTTGAACAATGCAAAATGACTATTCTACAATCCCCAAATATCTAAAACGGATTTGGTGTTCCTCTTTGGAAATGATTATGTTTTTCTTTGGCATATGTTCTTGAAATTGCTTAAGAGAGCATTGTTGTGCAGTTCTTGCTCAATGTACTATCTACTTTTGTCTCTCTACTTTCCCACTAGATATCATCAATCTTTAGATATGCCACCACTTGTATTTGAGTGTAATCACCATATGCCTAATGTGGTATTAGTACCGTGTTGGCTACACAAGTCGTTAATTTTCCTATGTGCTCGAGGGTTATGTCTAGGAGACATGAATGTAATGAGCCTTCCATCCATTCTAGCATTAGGAACATTTTAATGTGACAAGGGCATAGGCCAAAGTTGATTTCTATTCTTTTTTTTTTTTTGGGGACATATAGCCTTAATCAAGTGTCATGAATCAGCGTGAAATTACTTACGGAAGAGTAACCTTTTTGGCATTTGAAGCCTTGTCCAATTGCTCATTAAGTGTACTAAAAGCTTCCCCAAGATTCTTATACATACACATATTTACTTTGTAGATTAAATAATAAAGTTAGAATATTTATTCTAACGATTTGGATAAAATTCAAAGAAAGAAAGAATAAGGATGCTATGGTAACAAATAATTTGAGAGTTTCCGATTCTAGGATACTATGGGAACAATTATTAATTAGGTCGCTTCATGACTGGGAGTTAGAGATGTTAAGTCACTAGTTGTCCCAAAAGCTTGCGTTGTTAGGAAATGGGCCCAAACAATGTATATCAAGCTCTCCAACAGTCTCCTTCCCCTGTAACCCCGTCTTGCATGTGGAGATGCAAAGAGACATACATAGAGAGAAGCATAATGCAAAAGGAGAACAAATTCAAACGAAAAGATTTGAACCCAAAGCCTCTCCCAACTTGAGCTTTGATACTATGTTAAGTCACAAAGTATTCCAAAAGCTTAAGCTGTTAAGAAATAGGCCTATTAATGTATATCAAAATATCCAACAATTGGCTATGCGTGAGATCCTTGAGCTTTTGAATGGGGTTTCAATTCCCAAAAAAGATTTTCTTCCTTGTTTGTAGCTAATTCATTTAACTACTCCATTTTCTTTTTTCGGGTAATGTGAGTTTAATCCATGGTGATCAGTATCCCGATTCGGATCTTACGATCTTATGATCCATTTGGCACAATTGATCCGAATTGTGTAAAAAATCCCTTACAGGGAGGATCTATCGATCATGATAGTTGGATCTTATAGGATTGTGGAATCCCAATCTAGATCTGATCCTACCAATCCAATTTGTAAACCTTGTTTGTATTACACAAGCTAATTTTGTAAGAAATAATGTATAGAGAAAGAGAGAGAATAAATTGTATGTATTATTATTGATTGATGTAATGTTATTTCTTTTACAATGATTCATGATTCCTATATATAGAAGAGGATGAGTGTGTAGTGGGTGAGGAGTAGGTGAAGTGGAGGTGGTAGTGGTGTAGTGGGTTAGGTTTAGTGGAGTAGGTTTAAGTGGGGGAAGGTTTAGTGGAGTAGGTGAGGTGGTAGTGGTGTAGTGGGTTAGGTTTAGTGGAGTAGGTGAGATGGTAGTGGTGTAGTGGGTTAGGTTTAGTGGAGTAGGTGAGATGGTAGTGGTGTAGTGGGTTAGGTTTAGTGGAGTAGGTGAGATGGTAGTGGTGTAGTGGGTTAGGTTTAGTGGAGTAGGTGAGATGGTAGTGGTGTAGTGGGTTAGGTTTAGTGGAGTAGGTGAGATGGTAGTGGTGTAGTGGGTTAGGTTTAGTGGAGTAGGTGAGATGGTAGTGGTGTAGTGGGTTAGGTTTAGTGGAGTAGGTGAGATGGTAGTGGTGTAGTGGGTTAGGTTTAGTGGAGTAGGTGAGATGGTAGTGGTGTAGTGGGTTAGGTTTAGTGGAGTAGGTGAGATGGTAGTGGTGTAGTGGGTTAGGTTTAGTGGAGTAGGTGAGATGGTAGTGGTGTAGTGGGTTAGGTTTAGTGGAGTAGGTGAGATGGTAGTGGTGTAGTGGGTTAGGTTTAGTGGAGTAGGTGAGATAGTTGCCTTGTTTATTGGCAATGCCCTTGGCAAAAAGATCATCATAGGCAACATCATGAAGGCATGGATAGAAACTGTCACCTTTTGAGGATTTGTTTCTACATTTAGAATATTGATAAAAACACATGATTTAGGGTCATGTAGGTTTTCTTGGACTGTCACAACTGCTGCTTCAGGCAGTTGTCAAGCCATTATTGGCCAGCCAATAAATTAAATATACTGCATGAAGTTTTTTCTGCAGGAGCGGGCTTATATCTCACAACCTTGGTTGTCTCTTACATTCAATCGTTGATGGTAAGAATAAGAAAGGTTTCCCTTTTTGGGCTTTTTTACTTCCTGTTTTATTTTATTTTTGGCCACCTTCCTTCCCCCTGATTCCATCCAACCCTATGCAGGGGGTAATGAACAGAATGCTTGAGAACTTGCATAAATGGCCAAGATGGTAAACCTCCTCTGAGTTGAATCCGTTCCAAGCTTCCTGAACACACACAAAACAAAAACAAAAACAAAAGAAGAGGAAATAAGGGACATTAGCAATTTGTGCTAATGTCAAAGATGATAAATGTGTAGTTTTGAGTATGTGAGAGTCAATTTAAAAGTGTAGTAAGTTATCAAAATTTAAGTCCATGCTGAACCTTTGCCGCTAGAAAAGTTTAATCAATTTTTTGAAGTTCAGGATATGTAAATTAAAACATCATTTGTCACTATGTTCTGAACTCTTTTTAACTTCTCATGAACTTATTCCATAATGGAGAACTGAAGTTAAGGTTGAAGTTAAATTTGAACCTTGTAGACAATTTACAATTTGATGCATGCATACATATCTACACATAAGGCCATTCCTTAGTGCTAGTCCCTAATAGTGAAGGGTTCTACAAGGGATAGACTTGGTAAAGGCTTATCCTTTGGCATGCAAATCATTAAGTGGTTGCTATGTGACTCAAACAAACTCATGTCTCACACTTGAAAGTCCAAGCTTTTACCACTACAGTCTACACCAAGTAATGGTCTCTTCACATGTATGTAATTTTATTTGGTTTTTATGTAACTTAATTGTATTTGGCCTCCCTAAGCTTCTTATATTGTTACTTGGGCCTCGTTTGTCAATTATATATTTTAGCGAAAAAGTCAAAAAGTCACTATTTGTCACATCACTCTCTTTACTTTTCTGCATATCTTTTCATAAAAAGTCAAAAAGTTATTAGAATAGCCTGTTCCCAAACGAGGCTTTATATATTACACTTTTGAGAATCATTATGAGTTTTTGTCAGTCCAAATTATTGCAGTTATGTTATAAAATGATGTGCACTACAAGAAAAGTTTTACTTACAAATCATTGTGGTTATGAAACGAACTATTATGATTATGTTATGAATATTAAAATATTACGAATTATTATGGTGATAAAAGTTATTAACTATCGTTATTTTGTTACCAATCATTGTGGTCTAGTTTTGAAAAGACATATGGCATTCACTTTTTAGGAGTATATATCATAATTTTGCTTATTTTCTTTTCTAAAAAAAACATCTATTTTCCTTTTCCATTCATTAGTATGAGATAGGGTTGCAAATGAATAGACTCGTTCATGAATAAGCTCGAGTTTTGCTTGGTAAGGGCTCGTTTGAACTCGGTTCGTTAAATTTTTATTACGTTTGAGCTCGAGCTTGAGTTCGTTAAAATCTTAATAAACAATTTCAAGCATACTAAAGTTCGGCTCATTAGCTGTTTGTTTAACATTTATTTAAATAATAGAATAAATATATAATTATATATTAAATAATATAAAACTATGTATAAAAAATAGGATAAATATGTTAAAATTCAATGTATAAAGAGAAATAAATTCAATGTATAAAGAGAAATAGAGAATTGTATAGATATAGATTGTATTATTGATTGATGAATGTTATGTTGAGCTCTCTCCTTTATAGAGGAGAGGGAGAACAATTACAACGGAAAGTAGAGGCACAAATATTAAAGGTACATTATTAAAGCATACTAATTATTATACTAACCTAATTATTAAAGCAGCACTTTACATATTATATTCTAACAGCCCCCCTCAAACTCAAGGAGGATAGGAACCAACCAACTTGAGTTTGGAGAAAGTAACAAAATAGGAAAGTAAACTGATAAATAAAATTGGATAGGAGACACTGTATGGTCGTGTCAGACCGTTGTAGAAGACTGTATGGTTATGGCAGACCGATGTAGAAGACAGTTTATGGGGTCATGTTGGACCGTTGTAGCAGCTAACCGGAATTAATGTCGGGACACTTTATGGAGTCTTGCCGGACCCATGTAAAAGCTAACCGGAATCAATGTCGGGACAGTTTACGGAGTCTTGCCGGACCCATGTAAAAGCTAACCGGAATCAATGTCGGGACAGTTTACAGAGTCTTGTCGGACCCATGAAGGAGCTAACCGGAATCAATGTCGGGACAGTTTACAGAGTCTTGTCGGACCCTTAAAAAGTCGCACCCTCAAAAGGTGTGCCCAATCTATCAAAAGGCGTGCCATCAAAAGGCGTGCCCATGTTGTCGGCGAGCACCGAGAGGCGCATGATGCGTGTGTCTGCCTCTTCATCATGGTCTTTATAAACCGAAGCGGAGGCTGAGGCTTGGAAGCATAACAAACCAGTTGAAACCTCTTTGTTCTCTGAGAGCTTGTCGCTAAGAGCTGCAAATCTTGAAACACTCTGTAAACACTCTGTAACCAACCCTTCTCTGAAACACTCAGCAACCCATAACATGGCCTCGTCTTCCCGTTCAACTACCCAGAATATGGCCTCTTCGTCCCGTAGTCTTCTCACTCTCTTTCCCGACCTCAACGAGTCAACAAGAGAGATAACTGGTGCGGTGGCCAGTGAACCTCAACCAAGCGCCTCTGGTTTTGCTCCGTTGTACTTTCCGATGCGGTCGGTGGAGCAAAAAATGGCGGTGCAAACTGATATTGAGGCCAATCAGTATACTCCTCTTCGTCCCGTGGTCTGCTCACTCTCTTTCCCGACCTCAACGAGTCCACAAGAGAAATAACCGGTGCGGTGGCCCTTGAACCTCAACCAAGCGCCGCTGGTTTTGCTCCATTGAACTTTCCTATGCGGTCTGTTTAGCAAAAAATGGCGGTGCAAACTGATATTGAGGCCAATCAGTATACTTTGAAGTCATGCATAGAAACCATGACTGCGGTCACAAACTTGTCGCACCGGCTGCAGAGTAGGACAAATGAGGTGCAGCAGTTAAACACCCAACTGGCTCTGCTCCAACGCATGTATAAGGATGCGCGAGCAGAGATAAGTGTGCTAAAGGCGGAAAACAAGGAGCTGAAGCGGAAGGCCATCGTGATGTTCCGATTTGGAGGTCCACCATATGCTGCAGTGGAGGAGCAAGGGGGAGTGAGCGTGCTCGGCGGCGTGGGAATCACGGAGGCAACACCGTCAAGGGCCGCTCAGGACGGAAGCAAAAAGAAGAGACCTGCAGTAGAGTAGAGAAGGGAAAAGAAAAATCCCTCCTGGGGATGTAGTTGTTTTGTTTGTGGTTGGTTGTTTGTTTGTTTTTTTTTTTTTTTTTTTTTTTTTTTTTTTTTTTTTTTTTTTTTTTTTTTTAATGTGGAAAATTGTCATCGGGTTTGATCCCGGCAAGAAGAAATGACAGATTTGTTTGTTTGTTTGTTTGTTTGTTTTTTTTTGTTTTTGTGTTTGTGTTTGTTGGTAACTCTCTGGTGGGAACGCGATGGAAGTAGATTCCGGAGATGAATAAAACAAGGTTTGGTGTGCAAATTTAGATGGTATGAATGGAATTTGAAAAAGATTAAAAATAATGTGAAAGAAAAATAAAGAAAGAAAGAATAAGTTTTGTTTTGTTTTGTTTTGTTTTGTTTTTTTTTTTTTTTTTTTTTTTTTTTTTTTTTTTTTTTTTAATAAAAAAAAAAAAAGTTTAAATCTTTCATTTAAATGCAACTCTTAACCATAATTATCTCCATTACCAAAATTGGTTGAACTGTATTTGGTGAAATGTTGCCACTTCAGACTTCATGTGTTTACCGCAATTTGTTCCCAATGGGACGTCAAAGGTGGTCCCTAGTTCAACTCCAAACCTTTAAGGCTGGGTTTTGAACTCGAGCTTGGTTGTGCCTTTCCTTCCTGCTAAAATAGGATATCAAGTTTTTACATGTAGCAAAAAATCATATGCATATCTTAATCTGTATTTATATATTTCTTGTAATTTATTGATAACAAAAAAGTATGTATTTGACAGTTTATTGTTGATATCTTTATCATATTTGGATGTCTAAAATCACTTGTATAAATTCTTTTGCATGTAAAATCATTTTCATGCTTTCAGATGGGTTGGGTATTCTCTATAATCCTATCTAAACATGGAACTAGGTCAAACTTATTTACTAAAAATTCAACCAATGTTTTGTATTTCAATGTGACTTGTAGATTTGATTTGGAGTATATTCTGCTTTACTATAGTTCCATTCCAAATATGTAGGTTGGATGTTTAATAGAAGCAAACATAAATTTGTATACGTTCATACAAAATAAAGTCTGTTAAAATAATGATTGAATTTGATGTAGTAAAAGTGCACCTGTCTTCCATTATTCTGTTCCGGTAGAGCAATGTAGTACCTTTGTTACCTTGCTTGATGCTGTTAATGTTAAAATACAATGTATAAAGAGAAATAGAGAATTGTATATATATGAATTGTATTATTAATTGATGTAATTTATGTTATGTTGAGCTCTCTCCTTTATAGAGGAGAGGGAGAACAATTACAACCGAAAGTAGAGGCACAAATATTAAAGGTACATTATTAAAGCATACTAATTATTATACTAACCTAATTATTAAAGCAGCACTTTACATATTATATTCTAACAAAACATGTTAATTATATATTTAAATAATGTAAATAATGGCTAAATTTATTTATACGTAAATAATTGCTAACTACAGATAATGCATTTATATAATATTGGTAGATATTATTATTTTGGTAAGATATTGACTTTTCTTTTAATATGTTTATATATATAATTGTATAATCAAAATTTCAATTGTAACTTTAGTCTCATACGCAAGTATGAATTTATAATTTTTTTAGCTCGTTATGGCTCTTGTATAGGCTCGAGCTCGAGTCAAGCCTAACCCAACTTGGCTCGAGCTCGGTTCATTAAATTTTCATTAAGCTCAAGCTCAAACTCGAACTCATTAAAATCTTAATAAACAAGCCTAAACATACGAAAGCTTGACTCGGCGTGGTTTGGTTCGGCTCGTTTGCAGCCGTAGTATGAGACAACTTAAATTTTTTTTGTACGCAATGCGATATGTAATTCTTTACCTTTCATGTACTAGATAAATTATATGATATTATTTCTCATATGCATTTTCCTAGTGGTAATCATTAAAATTCAAGTTTCTAGAATACATTTTTGTAATTATTTATTTGCTTAGTTTTAATAGTGATTTGTTGATTTTACTCGTCTAAATTAGACTTGACTCGACTGCTTTGACTTACCTAGTACCTTACTTTTGGCCCCCCCAATTTTTTGTACACAACGCGATATCTAATTCTTTACCTTTCATGTACTAGATAAATTATATGATATTATTTCTCATATGCATTTTCATAGTGGTAATCATTAAAATTCAAGTTTCTAGAATACATTTTTGTAATTATTTATTTGCTTAGTTTTAATAGTGATTTGTTGATTTTACTCGTCTAAATTAGACTTGACTCGACTGCTTTGACTTACCTAGTACCTTACTTTTGGCCCCCCCAATGTTGTAATCTTGGCTCTGCCCCTGGCACTGGGTACAACCTAAATGTATAGAAATGCTATCAGAATGTTTCTTTCCAAGTCTATGATTTGGATATTGAAGGAAAAAAAGGAAAGCCTAGCAAACATAGATTTAGACCCATACCTCATAGGTACGCAGTTATACTTAAACTTTACATATTTAATACACAAGATAAAAATGGAAATAAAGTTGAAGAAAATGAAAAGATGAATATGAAGTGAAAGCAAACATAGTAAATAGATGCAAACTAACAAACACACACATCCATCGAGTGAAGCATCCTTGTGGAATTATTTGAGAGTTTCATGTGTACCTTCTCAATGAATGCTAGATTTACTGTTCCGCATTTTTTTGGTGTTTTTTACCTTACCAAATGTTGGTTCCTATTAATTGAGGTTGCTGGGAGATGCAAAGTGGTTTCCCTCAAATCGAGCCTGCATTGTCACACTCAGCAGCTTGAGTTTACCCTTGCAGACCTGAGCCACTTTTTTTGAGCGAATTCCATAGTTTGGGGCATCAAATTGCCATTCTCACTATTTTTGGAAAGTTTTAGTTTGGTTATAATTTTGTTTAGGAGTTGCCAATCATGATGCCAGTTTTCACTTGTTCCTTTTTTTTGTTTTGTTTTGTTTCTAGTGTTTAAATTTGAGTGTAACTCAAATTTTCTAATTTTTGTAATTTTCCTTAATTCTTTATTATTTTGTTTGACTAACGAAATGGCCTTGGATAGAGTCGAGTGGAGAAGAGGGATTCATGCAACCGACCCCATTTGATGGGACTTAAGGCTGGTTTGGTTTGGTTTGGCTTTATTATTTCGCGTCACAGGAGTAGGATTGCTTTGTTATAAATATGGTTATATCTTTCATGGAAATTCAATTTTTGCTTTAATAAAATTTCTCTGTTCTAGTATTTCTTGTGGATTCCATTCTTCTTCTCTTGTGAATTCAAGAGTTACGTATGCCAGAACGATATCTAGGCTGTTTTACGCAACTTCGCTGCGGCGCACACATTTAAAACAATGCTCTCTATGCAAAAATACAATAGAGGAACAGTATGTTTCCCTCAGACACAAGGGTCCTGCATAAATGAAATGGCAAATTGAACACATTGCACATGCTCATGTTTTCTTCATAGGAATGGTTTATGTTAGAATAGGAAATTGTTATAATAGGAAATAATTGTATTTATTCCTTTTTTCCTTTTTTTGTGATTGCTCAGACTATGCCTGTAATTGCTCAATTATCAATATAAAAGGGAATGAAGTCTAATTCATTACCTAATTCCTTCTCTTCTCTAAACCTACAGTTTATGTTTCTGCCTGTTTACTATTTTTGATTTTTGTGTGCTGAACACAACTTCATTTGTGGGTTTGCTTTGTTCCTTAGGATATTACCATGAAGATTATCTCATTTACTAAGCAAGGACCTCGAGCTATTTGCATCATCTCTGCTATTGGTTTAATTTCAAATGCTACTCTTCGACATCCTGATTCTTCTGGTGCTACATTGACCTATGAGGTATGGTTTCTTTATCTATTTTGAAAGTAGTGTTTCATTATTTTTATTTTTGGATTTAATCACAAAGAGTGCAACTCTTGAATGATTAACAAGATGTTTTTGACCTCTCTGCTACAAGCATACTTCCATATGTTGTAGTACACACTGCACTTTTGAATAGGTCTCATGAAGTAAGTTTTGGACATGAGATTGCATGCTTCATTTATGAAACTTGTGTATGATTAGATAATTTTATGGTTTGATGGAGGAGCTGAATATTTAAAGACTGAGCGGGCATGGTAAAATTTTATTTTGAGCCAATATTTTATTTAATATTTCCTTAAACTGCACAACAGTACCCACAAAAGTCACTATATATGAAATATCTACGCATCTCATCACCTTACTGCAAGTTTATGCCTTGCAACATAGTCACTTTCTTCAATGATCTCGGATCCTGCAACTGTTTATTATATGTTTAGGTATGATATGTACATTATCTTTTATTGTAATGTTTTTTTGCCGTCACATTTATGAAAGAAGCCTACAAAATAACAATGATGTAACACGAGAGTCAAATTTTTGAGGAATAGGCTGAGGCTACTATTTGTTGATCAATTATTCTAGACATTGGGTTTCTTCTGGAGTTCGAAGTAGTTTTTCTTTTTCAATCTTCTCTTTTATATTTTGAGACTTACCTAATTTTTTCTTCACTTTTTTCCTATTTCAATCATGAAACCTTCAATTTCGACTACCTCAAGTAAACATTGCAATCCATTCCACTTCATTTTGAAACCAAACCAAACTAAACCAAGCCTTGTGTCCAACTCAAGTGAGATCAGCTACATGAATCTATTTTCGCCATTATGTTCTATCAAGGACTATATGCTCAGTTAAATTAAATAAATTTATATATTATTTATTACTGCATCCCACGATAGTTTAGGTCTTCCCTTTGCCTAAATTTCCATTTTATGGTGATCGTATTACTCTTCCTTACTATTGCAAGCATACGTTTTTGTTGTACATAACTAAATGTCAGACCATATTCTCTCTCAACTTATCTTTATTTGATGTTACTTCTACCATTTCATAAACATATTCTTTTCTAATTATATATTTTCTAGTCTTATCACACATTCATCTAAGCATTCTCATCTCAACTATACTCACCATGAACGTGTTGTTTCTTAGTTGCCAACATTATATCCCATAAAACATCGTTTATGTTATTTTTATTTTATAAAATTTTAATTTTGTTAGTGTTCGTCAATCACATAATATTCCAAACACATTCTTCCATTTGAGCCACCTTACTTTAATTCTTTGAATTACATCATCGTTAACCTTACCATCCTTACTAATAACTGAACCTAAGTAAAGAAAATGTTCACCATTTGTTATCTCCTGTATTTCAATTTGTACTTCTCTATTATTTTTACCTTTAACTGTCACTAAAATTGCATTTCATCTATTCAGTTTTATGTGTACTAATTTTAAATCCTTCGATTCAAGTGCTTGTCTCCAAATTTCTAATTTAGTGTTAATCCCTTCCTTAGTTTCATTTACTAGAACTATATCATTTGCGAACAACATACACCATGTGACATCATCCTAAATGTGTTTAATTAATTCATCCATTACTAAAGCCAATTGGTAAGGATTCAAAGTTGACCTTTGATGTAACCCTACAGTAATTGGAAATTCACTAGTTTTTCCCGCAGGTGATCTAATCGCAGTCACAACTCATTATACATGTCTTTTATCGCATCAACATACCCGTTGGCCACATCACCCAATGCTATTATTACATCACTAAACACTATATCATGAGCTTTTTCTAAATCTATGAAAATCATATGTAGATCTTTCCTTCTCTCTCTCTCTCTATACTTTTCTATTAACCATGTGAGTCGTTTGTTTTCTTTTTTTCCTTCTTTCATTCTAGAATTAACCAAAAAAGAAGCAACCCTTGGTGTACTTTAACCCATGGAACTATAATTGGCTTATGATTTTCCACTCTTAAGAATACTAATCTTAGAATCGCTAATATGTGATATTTAAGATTCGTTGTTTGGACGTGCCATTTCAAATCAAATTCTTACTGAATCTATTTTTTATAACTACAATCTCATATGTGGGATTAGGCTTTAAAATCCAATTTGAGGATTGATTGAAACACAAGATTTGGATTTGAAGGGCTCAAATCGTAATCGCATCCTCTAGGATCCTCAAATTCTCCAACAAAACACATTCTGAAGGAACAAATAGTGACAATTCTTACAACATCCACTATTAATTTATGGTAATTGACATACCTAGATCGAAAGAAGAGTGATTATTTTGCTGTTTTCATCAGCAGACCCATAAATGAAGCGGATTTTGAACTCTAATGATAGTGGTAGTCTCCTCCATCTTCGACACAAAAAGCTAGAAAGGTGAGAAAAACCTAGATGCAACCTGCAGCAAATCCACATCAATGTGAATAGATACTAAAATGAACTGCAAGGTAAAACATTATGGAACAATAGAGGGATTTGACAAAAGAAAGGAAAACTGAAATCAGATATAAACTGAAATAAGAAAGGAAAACTTTTCAACCCATTTTTCTATAGTTCAGGTTTTAGAGGCTTTTGGGACCCGCAAAGGACCACCATGCTTCCACAGTCGCTGATAAAGTAATTTCACCCTAATGCTTGGTAGCCCTTCTTTGAGTGGTTTTATTTATGCACCATCAAATCTCTTAGTTCACACCATCTCCTCCCTATTTGCTCATTCCACACCACACCTAAATTGAAAAGTTTGATTTTGCCTTAATACACACTACTATTTTTCAAATAATACTAAATAACCTGCTTCTCCATCTCTAGCAAACCCTAACCCTAACCATTGCCACCGCCGGCCACCACCCCCTCCTCAGCTCATTGCCTCTGGTGGCCCCTAACCCTCCTTTCCTTTCAGCGAATCTCCCTCAACTACGTTGCTCCTCGTTGTCACCCTCCTCCCCCAACCCCACTACTCATCAGCGCCCTCCTCTCTCACCATCGCAATGCCCACCCCTCGCAGCACCGTTATCACAATCTCCTCATAGTTCGGCGATCGAGCCGCCCAACCCCCATGACCTCCCTTGTAGTCAAATGATCGTTCCTCTAATGAGAGAGAGAGAGAGAGAGAGAGAGAGAGAGAGGTTGGGTGAGGGGTAGAGGTTGATGTGGATGGGCAAGGGAAGGGGGGGAGAGTTGCCAGAAAAGAAAAAGAATAAGAAGGTGGAGGAGAAGGAGGCGGCGGCTAGGGTTAGGGATGGTGGGATGGCTGGTGGTGATGGTGGGGTAGTGTGGATTGAGAAATGGAATGACTTGTGTGAGCAATAAAAATGTATTTGGCTAAAAGAACAAAGGTATAATTAAAAAAAAAATTACGGGGATGGTGTACTGAGAGGATTGACGGTGTGTAAATAGAATTGTCCCCTTTCTTTTAATATTTCCCCTTGGGATGGCTCTTAGTTACTTTTGCAAGAGGGTCTTGCTGTGGTCTAGGAATCCCTCTGTAGGAAGCCCTTTCCATGATTGGGACACTAAACATTACACAAACTTGAATGCCAAATTTAAGAATCTGCTTAGCCCTAGAATTGGTGAAACCATTAACCAATGTGTAGAATACTTTGGCATTGTCAAAAGTCACACTTCCTCAATTAAGGAATGAATTTGAATGGCTTCTTTGTCTAAATCATGGTTTTAAATAATGGTATTAAGATACATATCTATATCGGCAATATGGTCTATATTGTCAAATATCAGGTAGTTTCGACCGATATATCATTGAATATTAGTGTCGGAAGTTAAAAATCCCAATACCAAAATTCGATACATTTCGGCCAATATGCGGATAAGATATGTATCGGTTGATATTTAAAACTATGGTCTAAATCATGATACTCCAATGCCAAGTCATAAAATCTTTTCCTTCACAGGTTGGATGTCTTCCTTTCTATTTTTATTAATCTCACAAAAATTTCCTATCAAAGTAGCAATTATGTTACTTCAGTACATTGCCCCTTGCGACAAAAATAAAATATATCATGTAGTATTTGAACACAAAAGAAATTGATCTTAGATATAGTAATAAAAACTTTGGGGGAATAATGTAAAAATGATGATTTGTTCTTGCATTTATTGTGTTTTCTTGAAGTAATGGTTCTTTTTTTTAAGGAGACTACCAATTTGGGACCATAGAAATAATGGTTTTTGCATAAAAAGGTAGTAGATTTAAAACTCCGAATAGATTAATGGGGTAAAGCTAATTAAGAAGGAACATGTTTGGAATGATCAAAAGAATGAAAAGAATTATTTGGCTTTTCCATGAATGAGGTAGAGGCCATGTATATATAATAGATTCATGATACAATTTAGGAAACGATATAAATAAGGAAATTATACTAAATCAGTAATTGACACAATCACAGATTATATACATAATACTAAAAATTAAAAGATTCTATGTACTCTAATTTCTATATTCAATACTCTCTCTCAAGCTGGTATGCAGATATTTAACAATCGCAGCTTGCCAATGGATGACTGGAAGAAGCCTGGAAAAACTCAACGGCTAGTATAAATAAATGCTACCGAACAAATTTGGTAGTCCACTAAATAAAAAAGGCCAAAAAGTGCTTAATACATTAGCAACACACCCTAGGAAAGGGAAAAAAATAGGGACTGAATTGCCCTAGAAGAAACTGACCGAAATCAATGTCGGGACAGTTTAAAGGGGTCATGCCGGACCGTTGTAGGAACTAACTGGAATCAATGTCGGGACAGTTTAAGGGGTCATATCGGACTGTTGTAGAGACTAATTGGATGTTGAACCAGCAAGTGTGGCATACACATACCTTATAACGTGGTGTTAAACAATGATGGTAACAGATAATTGAGTGCACCAAGCGGCAGCTTATTAGAAAGTGTGCCGGGGGGGCGGCTTAGGTGGTGTGTCAAGGGGGCGACTTAGGTGGTGTGTCAAGGGGGCGACTTGGGTTGTGTGCCAGATGGGACGGCTTAGGTGATTCACATGGTATATCACCATGCTTACCATGATATAGGTATAATACCTTCTCAAACTCAAATAGGTTTGAAGATAGAAACCTGTTTGAGGTTAAAACAGAGGGAAAAACAAAGTGGAGTAGAAACACACAAAAAAATGGATTGTGAGTAAAAAAAAAAATATGATAGAGATATTTGAGATAAGAATAAATTAGTAGATAGAGGAAGAGATTACCACAAAGTGTTATTGAAAGAAAATATAGCAGTGGAATGGGTTGAGGTCTGGCGGGTGGTCAAGGCAAGGCTGTCGCAAAATTACTAGGTACTTAACCTAGCTCTGATACCAAAACGCACGAAAAGAATTATTTGGCTTTTCTATGAATGACGCAAAGGCCATGTATATATAATAGATTCATGATACAATTTAAGAAACGATATAAATAAAGAAATCATACTGAATCAGTGATTGACACAATCATAGATTGTATACATAATACTAAAAATAAAAAGATTCTATGTACTCTAATTTCTATATTCAACATGATCCACTAATCCCTCTGATTCTATCCTGAGATATTCATATCAGACATAATGTAAATGTTTTGTTGCAATACTGAAATACTTGTTTTCTCTTTTTCTCATTTGCTGAGTCATTTCTTCTTGATCTTTTGCATTCCTAATTGACAGCCACAAAAAGTAGGATTAATCAGTGTGGAAAACTGTTAAATCTTGTAGCCAAGCTTGCGATATTGGTTTAACAGCATAAAGGCCAGGACTTATATTCCAAAATTACTTAATACAGGAAATCCATCATGATCTGACACTGCCAATGATTCTGATGAGATTATTATGTATTATTATTGTTGGGAGTGAGTTGCTGCAATGATCTATCAGTTCGATATATTGTATGTATATTGTTGAAAGGTTATAGCCCTTGCTAGATCCCCATAGAAAGTATATTTTATGTTTTTTGAAAGATAAAATGCAAATCATTTGACTTACTATACTCTCAGAAATGACCAATACTTCGATTAGATCCACCACTCATGTATCCAGTAATTTTGTTTTACTGGTAGAAATGCTGTAGGGTTCTGAATTCTTTGAATCCTAGCAAACTCTGAATTGAGAATAAGAAAAGTGAAAAAAAGAAGGATAACAAAAATGAAGTTTGATCAGCTTTGTTTGACAAACACTGCTCGCATGACTTGTTTGTATGGTTGATACATGTGAGCTGGTGCTGATGCTATCTTTATCTATGCTTGATTGTGCACTGATGTGCATTTATATATCTTTATCTGTATATTAGTTTTGATTTTGAAATGCATATTCTGCATATTTTAACAGTCGGAAAATGAAGCGTGCTTGGCTGCATTATGTTCTCTTACATGGAAAACCTGATCTCTTCTTGCTACAACTGTTTGTAGGGAATATTCGAAATTATAACATTATCAGGATCATTCACCCCCACAGAGGTAGGGGCAAACAGAGTCGGCAGAATGGGGGGCTTGAATGTTTGTTTGTCTAGCCCAGATGGTCGTGTCATTGGGGGAACGCTTGCAGGACTACTTGTTGCTGGTGGTCCTGTACAGGTGAGCTCTCTTTTCTTTCTATAAAGAGGAAAATTGTGGTCTATAACCTAATTACTTTAATGCTTTTCCTTGTGGTCATTCTGTTGGAATACCCGTTCTCTCATGTTTTGTTCGGTAAAAGACAAGAATTTACCTAATTACCATTCCTGCCTAAAATCATTCGAGGGAACCACACACACTATCTTAGTTTCTTTTCAATTTTATTTATTTATTTGTGTGGAAAATATCATATAAACTGGAAGTAGGAAAATTAATTGCAAATAATGGAGTGTAAGTGAGAATTGTATTGGAATGTGTTCCACATCGCCTAGAGTTGCCTCATCTGTGCTAGTTATAAGGTTCCAGTTTCCCTCTCCTTAATACCTGGGTTTTAGGGAAAAGTGTGGGTTAGACTTCAATTTGGTATCAGAGCTTCATTGGGCCTATGATTGGTGTGCCGTTTGTTTGACTAGTGTATGTTGTGGTCTAGGAGGGTGTGTTTGGATGTGTCCCACATCGCCTGGAATTGCCCCATCTGTGCTGCTTATAAGGCTCCAGTTTCCCTCTCCTTAAAATATAAGGTTCCAGTTTCCCTCTCCTTAATACCTGGGTTTTAGGGAGAAGTGTGGGTTAGACTTTTCAATTTGGTATCAGAGCTTGATTGGGCCTATGATTGGTGTGCCATTTGTTCGACTAGTGTATGTTGTGGTCTAGGAGGGTGTGTTTGGATGTGTCCCACATCGCCTGGAATTGCCCCATCTGTGCTGCTTATAAGGCTCCGGTTTCCCTCTCCTTAATACCTGGGTTTTAAGGAGAAGTGTAGGCTGGACTTTTCAATTAATTGTACCACTGGGTACAATTTCACTTTCATCGGGATACATATCTCACCTCATCGAATTGAAAAGCCCAGCCTACACTTCTTAAAACACTTTCACCGGGGTACATATCTCACTTCATTGAATTGAAAAGTCCAGCTCCCACTTCTTATAACCTAGGTGTTAAGGAGTGGGAAATTGGAGCCTTATAACCAGCTCAGATAAGGCAATTCTAGGCGATGTGGGACACATTCCAACACAGCACAGATGGGGTAACTCCAGGCAATATAGGATACATTCCAACACACCCATCTGGACCACAACATACAATCCACCCTCCTGGACCACAATATACAATAGCCAGACAAATGCCACACCAATCACAGGCCCAACCAAACTTTGATACCAAATTGAAAAGCCTAACCCACACTTCTCCTTAAAAGTCAGGTGTTAAGGAGAGGGAAATTGGAGGCCTTATAACCAGTACAGATGGGACAACTCCCAGTGATGTGAGACACATTCCAACACATTGTTGTCTATTTTAAGAATGAACATTGCTGCTAGTCACATCTTCCTGGCCTCATGATTTCGTGATTTCCCATTGGATGCCATAGTGACAGTAGTTGCTGTGGCACGTCCATGGACATGTGGACACGGTGATTTTCAAAAAATACGCCTTGGACATGTTAAAAAAGTGTATGTAGAGGGCACAAGTAGCATTCCGAAAAATGCAAAAAGTGTCTAATATGATGAATTGAAGTTTTTTTAGTTAAGTCTCGGTGAAGAAATGTCAGACATGTTGCAGAGTTTCAGTGTCGGACGCAGCATGCTTCCTCCATAGAGAAGTGTTTGTGCTTCTTAAGTTACAGATTTCCCACCCATGAGATGAACCATGTTTTGACATTTTGCTACCTTATTTATATCAGGTTGTTGCAGCCAGTTTTCTGCCAAGTGGGTATCAGGAACAGAAGAAGCCAAAGAAACAGAAAACTAACCCTAATCCGACTCCAAATGCTCCAACCTCAGCTGCTGTGTTTCCTCCTAATGTGGACAATGATCGCTACAGTACACCGGAGCAAAATAATTCTGCAGCTCCGAAGCCAAACCTTTCTTCATCTTCCATCCACACAACAAACTGGGCATCCATGGAAGCAACACCGGACTTTAGGAAGTCAGCCACTGACATCAACATATCTTGGCAAGGAGAGTAGGCGACAGCCTCACTGACTTGGGTAATTCGAGGCCTCTGCATCTTTATGTTGTAGCATCGATTAGAACTCATTGATCATCAGCTAGTGTAGGATGAACTATACAACTTTTTATTCACATCTTTTCTTTTTCTTTTTTGTTTTCATTTCATTACTATTTAGGCATGAGATATGAATGGTATGCTTATTATTTAGGACTCTACTGCTGTTGTTAGGTGTAGAACTATGGATGTTCTAAACTTACTTGAAAAATTTCCTGAAATGTTTGAAAGGATTTTTGAGTTTTAAATTTTCTAGCGTGTTTGGTTTTTGATTGTGCATGGTTAGTTTATTTATGATTCATTTCATTACTATTTAGGCATGAGATTTGACTGGTATGCTTATTATTTAGGACTCTACTGCTGTTGTTAGGTGTAGAACTATGAATGTTCTAAACTTACTTGAAAAATTTCCTGAAATGTTTGAAAGGATTTTTGAGTTTTAAATTTTCTAGCGTGTTTGGTTTTTTGATTGTGCATGGTTAGTTTATTTATGAATCATTGAAAAATATTGGAATGTGACGCCCAGATTATTCAAAATTGCTTTGGTTTTATTCTTTGACATGTAGAATGTGACATTGACATTGTTTGATGCAATTTATTTGGACTGTATATAGATTGTTTATATATATATGTGTGCATAAATTTATGTCAGAGTGTTTGTAGTTTTTGTTTATAGTGTATGAAGCAAAAATTACTTAAAAAGAAAAAAAATTCATTATTAGGACATTGACCTTGACTCCCTTGACTGGAATTATTTTTTTATTTTTATTTTTTTTCAATACAATGATCATATCACCTCATCACTGATATGTGATATCATCACTCAATAATAAATTTTCATATAAGCGTGATTAAACCCACTTTGTAGCGGTTATTAAATTATTTTAAACAGTGAGATTTATTAATCTTGTGTAGTTTTATTATTTGGTGATATGTGATATTATCGTTATATTAAATTTTTTATTTATCAAGTATATATATTTTTTCTGGTCTTTACGTCACCATTATACAAAATATATATGTATTAAAAGAATGTGGGTGTGGGTGTGGGTGTGGGTGTGGGTTAATAAATTTAGAAAAATGGGAGGTCATTTTTTAAAATAAATGAATATTTTAGTATTCTTCTTGACACTTGACACTCCAATCAGCCTTTGTTATATTACAAGTCAGCATTGCCATTGATTGCTTTGATTGTCTAATATTTACTTTTCATTTGATTTTAGACTTGCAATTCTAGATTCTTTTTTAATAGTATATTCCTTTAAAATAACTACCAAAGAATTGCTGAGAAATTTCCCTATAGCCTGTATCTGGACCTCATCATATGTAATATTCAAATCAGTGCCAACCAAATGACATATACACAACTATATATATATATATGCTATGCTGGTTTTACATAGTTAAGTAATCCTGTTATAAACTTCTATAGGAAGACTTTCTGTAAGTTTCTCAGGAAAACTCTCAGTTGTTTAACAGTAGACCTTTTCAACCCAAAGTGGTTATTAAAGTCACTTGTTGTGCTAAGCACCTCATAGGTCATGAGTTGGATTGATGAGTATTTGATGTGTGTGGAATAGGATTGATCAGGAAAAACATTTGAATAATCTCCTTATTCCTCAAAAAATTAGAGATTGAATTAGTTTGGGCCACTGGATTTGTTACAGCTCCTGTTTCAATGAATTTCTTTAGTTTTTTTGAAGTCTCTATATAGATCATTCATTTAAAAAATTAAATTGATTATCAAAATTGGTCACATGATTTGATTATCTACGAGTTATTTTGAGAATTGGCTTTTCTGTAATGATTTTTTAACTTTTTTGATTATTTTAGTCAATTGCCAAAATAGGTCTCGAGTGTTTATAAAAGTGGATTATGTATTTTTAAAGTCATACTTGTCGTCAATTATTTTAAAGACTAAGGTGATGAACTAATATGGTTACAATTATTAAATCAATCTTGATTTTTTCATTTTATTTATGAATGATCTACACATAGTGAATTAAAAATGAATGGAGTAGATCATTGAAATGGGACCCATGACTGGTAAAGCTATGGAACGGATTGGATCGTTACATTAATCTATTTGGTGCAGTTTCTAGCAATTTGAAAGTTGATAGTCAAAAAATAGAAATTAAAAACATGTCTATCCTTATTTTTCAATAATTAATTTATTTAAACTATTTATGTTTCATAAGTTGTAAGGAGATTTAAAATAATAACAATAATACCTTTTCAAGTGGCTATATATAATGACCTCCCAAACGATCTTTCTTCACACGAGGAGAGAGAAAGAAGGAATCAGAAACCTTTGAGGTACTGAGGGCATGAAGACAATAAGGGTAATTACTCTTATAACCCTTCTCTTGTTTCCAGCAATCCGTAGAGTCTTCTTGCTATTCTCTTTTGTACTTTCAAGTCTTTCACTCTCTCACCATCACAGCCTCTTTGTCTCCAAGTTTGTCTCAGCTGTGACAAAGTCTGGTAACTTAGTTTTGTTTTTTGTTTTTAGTTTCATCATCATAGCAATCTTCTTGTTGGGGAGTTCAAAAACTTCTAGTGAAGATCATTTTGATTCATTTTCTTATCTTCCGCCTTTAGTTTGTGAGGTAGAATCTCAACCAGACAAAGCAAAGGTCGATGATTACAATGATGACAACGATGAATTTGTTCCTCGTTTAGCATACGTAAAATATAAACAAGGAAAAGAATTTTTACTTGAGTGTTTCGATAATGAAGATGATAGTCATGGTTTTCATGGTTGTGATGGGCATGAAGAAGTTAATGACGATGAAGGTGGTGACGACGACGACGACGATGTGAGTAGTGAAAATGAGGATTTAAAGAGGAAGGTTGAGGAATTCATAGCCAAAAACAACAAGAAATGGAGGGAGGAGTTGGTCAATGACAAGTGTCTTTGGATTGTACCTGCTTAATAGCAATTTATGTTTCCTTGTTGCACCCAGAGAAAAATTATTCAGAAAAGTTATCAGAATTTGAAACTAGTCACAACTAGTTTCATTCTGAGTATGACGTACGAGTTTGAATTTGTATTATAGATTTTAAAATTTAGGTAGTTTTCTGAGTATATAGTGTTTCTGATTGTGTTGTAAATTAGTGTGTATTTCAAATTAGTGTTTGAACATGTCCCTTTTTTATGGACAATTGTAAGATTCAAGCTGAGAAGCTTGAGCTAGAAAATGTAATCCTTATATCACTAGATATGTGTAAATTGCAGTAGTTTATCTTTGAGATGCTCTTGTTATGATGGAATGAGATTGAGAGATAACAATTAAAAAAGGGAAATGATAGAAAGCTCTAAATATAGAGCTCTAATTTGAGCTCTAATGATGTGTCAAAACAAAAAAAAAAAAAGAAAAAAAAAGGCACAAACATCACATCAGGGTGGGACCCACCTTCCCATTAGAGCTATTAGAGCTCCTATATTAGAGCTCTAAAGCATTTTTGATTAAAAAATAAAATAAATAGAAAGATAAAAAGGTGATTTACATGATTTATTATAAATCTATGTACAAGGACTAGGAAAAGCAAAAGAGCTTTATTATGAATGAAATAACCCATTAAATATAAGAATTTGAATAGCCCTCAAATAACTCTTAAATATAACTAAATCAAATCAAATCATATCAAGTCAAGTTTTAAATCTCATCAAATGGGATTGGTTACATAAATCTTTTTTTTTTACTTGATTTTATCAAAGGCCATTTTGTTAGTTAAATTAAGAAGGTTCTTATGTAGCTACAAATTATGATTCTGTTTTTATTTTTAAACAAATAAAATTAATTTCAAAAATTTCCAATTTCTTAAAAATGAAAAAAAAGTGATTTTTATTTTCAAACATTTTTTCACAATTTGGTCTCTCCACCCCCCACGTCCTGCTACCACCAAGAAAATGAGATAGATTCTTGAGAGGGTAATTTATATATATAAATTGGGCCGAGCTAGGTAATGGGCCGTTGTGAGCCACGGTAAGAAGGGCGGAGTAAAAGGGCCTTGGCATTAGCCCGGTCCCCAAAAGGCCTTGTTGTTATCCCGATCCAAGAGAGTGTTACAGACAACCCGGTCACCACACTCAGAGTTAGCCCGGTCGTGGCATGTTGTGGTTAGCTCGGTCCAAACCTTGCTATTTCTTAGCTCGGTCTAAACACACCATGGTTTGTACAGGAGAAGCCGAGGTAAGAGCAGTGAATGGAAGAAACTGAACTGGATTTAGTTCGGTCTACTCTGCGGCTTAGCATAAGCCATGCTTACCTCGGTTATATTGGAATCCGACCATGGTAAAACCATCTCACTTGGTTTAAGCAGTGAGGGGGGTGTTGAGGGATAAGCATTATCTTTCAAGAATGTGATTACTAGGAGGACTCTACATGGAGAAGTAAGAGTCCTACTAGGATTGTGCCACACGGAACCTATAAAAGCTCATAACATCACCTATGGAGAGGTAACGCAATTTTGATTCTTGAATACATAGAGCTTTTGTCTATTAGTCTATTTTGGCTGACTTAGGCATCGAAGAGGTATCCGGCACACACCCGCCGGCTAGCTCACGTTTTTGTTTTCAGGGAGTAAAGCGATGTCGTACGGATGAGCACAAACTTGATCAATAGGATTATACGAGAAGGTTTATTTCTTTCCCGTACAATTGGCGCCATTTGTGGGAAGATCAGACAAGGAACAAAACCTCTTGATCAAGTTTTCCTTGCTAATTGAATGGCGCACAACGAAGATTTACCGCAGTCTTCCATCGACGGACAAACCCTAGAGGGGGGTGGGAGGCGCGAAGGATTGCCTTCTATCCCTCCCATGGCGGACTTAGAGTCCCAGCGACAGAATCCCCGGAGGGATACAAGGGGGAGGCGGAACAACAGCCCCCGTCGCTCTCACTCACAAAGTCCTGAAAGGTAAAGGCGAAGAATCGACCCACAAGCTCTGGAGGATCGCGTAAAAGAGCAAGATGAACTAATAAGGAAGATGGCGGTGGACATGGAGGCCATGAAGCGCCAGATCAAGGGAAAATGGGTGGCGACAGGAGAGGGGCGCAAAGGCAATATGCCTCATCGCCACTCAGAAGATCGTGGTAGGCGTACCACGCCATCACAAGCAGAGAGTAGAAGCCTCAGGACAGGCGACACTCAATCAAGGACTTCCAGAACTCATTACTCCAGGTCTGAGAGAACGAGG